AAAGACATTGAGGGGCTGGAACATGTCCAAGAAATTACAATGAAGCTGATGAAGGCTTAACAGCACAAGTCTTATGTGGAGCAGATAAGAGAACTGGCGGTTTAGTCTGGAGAAGGCTGAGGGGAGACCTTGTTGCTCTCTAAAACTACGTAACAGGAGGGTGTAGAGAGGTGGGGGTCAACCTCTTCTCCCAAGTAACAAGTGATACAACAAGAGGGAATAGCACCAAGTTGCACTAGGAGAGTTTAAGAGTAGTTATTAGGAAAAAGTTCTTCACTAAAAGAGTTGTCACGCACTGGAACAGGCTGCCCAGGGAAGTGGTTGAGTCACCATGGCTGGAGGTATGTAAAAGACATATAGATGTGGAGCTTTGATACATGGTTTAGTGGTGGACTTGGCAGTGTTAGTTTAGCAGTTGGACTTGATGATCTTCAAGGTCCTTTCCACCCTAAATGATGCTATGATAATATGTATATGACTAAGCTACACCTTCATAGACAAACTCCTCCACTTCATAGACCTAAATCAATGAGTCTTCTGTTCTGTGCTCATCTCACTAACTTGCAGATAAATGTAGGAAAAAGAGCTAATAAGACCATAGCTGTATTTCTGGGATTTAAATGAGCAAGGTGTTTTCTTTACGTAGGTGGTGAAGCCTGTCCAAAGGGCAATGAAGCTGGTGAAGGGCCTTGAGAACAAGTCTTACAAGGAGCAGCTGAGGGAACTGGGGCTGTTTAGTCTGAACAAGAGAAGGTTGAAGGGAGACCTCATCACACTCTAAATCTACCTGAAAGGATGTTGTAAAGAGTTAGGCACTGGGCTCTTCCACAAGCAACTAGTGATAGAACAAGAGGGAATGGCCTCAAGCTGTACCAGGGGAGGTTTAGACTAGACATTGGGAAGAACTTTTCACTGGAAGGGTTGTCAGGCATTGGAACATGCTGCCCAGGGAGGTGGCTGAGTCACCATTCCTGAATGCATTTAAAAGTCATCTAGATATGGCTCTTGGGAATATGGCTTAGTGCTGATTTGGTACAGTTAGTGGTTGGACTCGATGCTCTTAAAGGTCTTTTCCAACCTTTTTGATTCTGTTTATTCCATCCTCTTGTTTTCAGAATAAATACCTTACTGTACAACTCTTCCCTATTCTCTACACTCCTGAAGACAAACATTATATTTTAATTCTCCTTCATATGCATGGGAAGAAACAAGGAAGAGATGATTCTTCCACCTTTCCTTAGCAGACAGTACACAACAGCCACCAAACTAGAGAATATGCCCTTACAACCTAGGGGATACTCTGAAGGGCCACTTCACAAACAGATTAACTTCCAGGCTGAGAACACAAAGAACCTGAGATATCCTCTACTTGTACATCTCCATTCTTGATGGATTGATGGATTATTACTCCTTGCAATTTAGCAACAAATAAAATGGAAGCATGGACAGTGAGCTGTTCTCCTTTTGGCTGCCTCTGGGGATGATCTACTTGGGCTTTGTTCACTGTTCAGCACTCCACAAAGGTGGGCAAGAATGCAAACCATAGGGGTCTGGCAGGCAGAAGAAAGGATTTTAAACCTGGGCAAGAGGGAAAATCCTTGGCAGTTCAGTTATAGTGAAGTAGCTAGAACTGAACAAGAAATATTTCTTTATGTTGTCAATTTTGTTTGACATTACAAAAGAAGAGCCTGGACATTCCTGGCTATAGCTGTGGGGATTGAAAAAGAAACAAGGAAATATTCAGGAGTTGATGGACAGCTGTATTTCAGGCCAGTAACTGAAAGGCTTCTGATTTTGCCTCCATAGCTCAAGACATGCCACCCATTTAAAAAAACATAATGGTAAAATCTTTTAAGAATGCCTTGTGTGTTAAGCCTCTACTGCTAGAGAACACAAATAATTTGGGATTATTTTCAAGCTTACTTTACAGCTTCTTTAATAGCATACTTACATGCTCAGCCACTTAAAACAATGCAGACCCATGGCAACCAAGATGGTGGACAATAGGGGTGAAGGGGATGTGGGTGGGAACTGGAGAACCAAACTGCCGGGTTTTGCCAATAGCTTTTGAAACTTTGTGTCCCACTCTGTTCCAGGAAGGATATCTAGTGACATCTTTGAGACATAATTGCGAGAGGATCCTAAACAGCCTAGAGGGATCTGTATTAAAATATTTACTATTTTCTCAGATATAGATATATTAGTTAATGTAATCATTAGTCCAGGTCCTTGTGAACTCGTGGTGCAAAAAGCTTTTTGCATTTTTTCATACTACTATAATTACTATAATGTATTTACTAATTTACACCCTTCAGAATTCTTACAAGCTGTTATATATAGTATGTACTACCACTAAGATTTGACTAAAAAGGTAACGTCTCCAAATGTTTTCTGAGATGTGTTTTTGGAGTAGGAAGTAATGGTATGATCCTGTCAGATTTTTACAGAAAGGATCAGAATAACTTGATTTCAACTGCTAAGAAGCTTTACACAAAATACCTTTAGTATGTCCATGGTTAAGCAAAAATCCAGAGTAGGCTCTGCATAACAGTACTTCTTTTAAAATAGGTTGGATAAAAAACAGTCAAGCTCCTAAATCCATTATTTTGTATTCTGCCTTTCTCTGTATGGTCACTCCTTAAAATTCCTTTAACTCTCGGAGTAAGTATTTTGCTGTTCTGTGTCGAGCCCAGAAATTATCATACAGGAAACAGCAGGGTCACACAGCCCTTTCTGTTGACCAGCAGTAGCCTTTTTACACCCGTTTTACCTTCTCCAATCTGGTCAGGGGAAAGATGGAACCTGCATTAAGAGATGCATATGAACATCTAGTACCAAATGCTCGTATGTCCTCTAGCACTGAAGTATAAGCTTTAAAATTATCATGAAAATAATTTGATTTTTTTTTTTGGTCTTGATTAGTGAGAAGTTTTCAGTAACCTCTTGTTGTATCATTGGAAATCAAGTACTGTTGGGGAAAAAAGTACCAAAACATCCACTGGGAAAAAGGCAGAAAGAATGTCTCAGATAACTTAAATAGTGTGGAAGAAGTACCAAGAGAAAATGTCACTAAACAAAAACCACTGTATTTTCTGTAGAAAGACCTAGCTGTTAACTTTCAAAAATAATCCATGCTTTTTAGAAGTCAGGTGAACTGGGCTACAATATGTCAAAATTCACATTTCAGGTATGACAAAGCGCACGTCAAAACTGACACTTTTCATCACCAGGCTGATTTCTGAATTTTGCCTTTTTTGAGAACCTATTTCATCAATGTCTATTTGCAATTGTATACCTACTTGAAGTGAATATTTACTAGTTCATTTTGTGGTCAGCACAGCTAGCCAGATTTAACTATATTGACTATAAATTCTACCTGATTTAGAGATATAAGATATAATCAAGTATTTGCAGTGTTCAGAGTGGAACCATTGCCACATTGAACACTCATGACAAACTGTGCCAAGATTTCTAATTTCCACAAAGTTTCCAAATCTTGAAGTTGTTCTAAAAACTGATATAAATAGTGCACAACAAATCTGCTTCATACATTTAAACAAATGAATACATGTTTATGCTTATTGAAGTTGCAAGAAAAGCAAAACCACTACAGTTAAGTTCTATAATGACATTTAAAACCATCTAGATCTAGACTGCTTCAGTGACTCTGCACAGTGCCATTATTTGCAGAGAAAGAAGGAAAACAATGTAAAATTCAGAAAGTCAGTGTAAAGTCATGAATAAATCATACGTCACAACAAAAGTAGCCATTCACAGAAAAGCCAAGCAGATTCTCATTTTGGATCACCAAATTACATTGATACTCCAATTATATTGATAAATCTAGATTTCTCCTTTCATTTCTGTAAACCAAAATTATGTGCTTCATCTACATGGAAGTAACAGCATTTACTGAAGTGGTTGTACCACTAGGAGAAAAGATTCAGGAAACAAACAGCAATTCATGTAACAAAAAAAGGGGAGGGGATGAGACAATATGACCTAAAAAAACCATAATGAGTATGACTGCCTTGTCACAGAGACATTTTGTTGCAATGCAGAGTACAACTGATTTTCAGAAGTTCATTGGAAAATGAAATGTGTTATACACAAAATGATAATGATAATACTGGGATACAAAACAAGAATATAGTTGGGAGTGCGAAAAGTAAACACTAAGTGACAGAAAACAGTTTCAAAATCCAGCGAGATAACAGAAAATTCATAATGCATTTCCAATATATTATAACAAAATCACCTACAATGTACCTGTCAAATCTAAACTTTTCAATTCTATGTAGAAATATTTTATTAAATCATCACTACAGTAAAATAGAAACTTCATTGATTTCAAAAGTAGCAGAAGTCAAGCACATTGCATTTGTCTGCCCACAGCAATAGCACTTTTGTCAAAAGCACCAGTAACAACGTTAAGTTACACACAAAAGCTGGCTCTGGTAGGGCAATGGACAAAGGCAAATGACTGCAAAGCAAGAGGACTCAACTTCAATTTAACTGTCCTGTAAGGTACATACTAATTAGCTACAAAGCTATGAAATCCTAGCTAGCATGTTAAGTCTGCTACATGACAGTATAATTTGACTTCTTAAAGGATTATGCAAATTACAACTCATCATTCCATTACACGACTGAAAAAAAGTGACAGCTAATTTATACATAACACACCTTTCAAATCCCTAAGATGTGAAGCACCTGTGCAACACATTTTGCCTAGATTTTCTAGTGTATACATTTTTGTTTATTGCACTGTACAAAAACATATCTAAGGAATTTAGTAAAATCACAGGGGCTTTTATTTGCTTTTTAGCTTTTAGAGCACAATCCCAAAGAATTAAACAACATATTTCTGACCCTGCTGTAGAGGTTTTGCACGCAAGTAGAACGGTAGAGTTCTAACACAAGTGTAATTTCTGTATAGCGGGACAGCACGAGCACTAAATGCACGGGCTAGAGGCAAGACTCACACAGATTCAACATACTTCTGGTAGGTAGATTCACAGTAGATTCCGTCATATCGGTAGATTTTCCTACATTCTGATTGGTTGGGCAGAGGATGCTGGACAGTTATTCTGTAGAGGCATCAAAAACAGATAGACATGACCAGAGGTTCTCTACAGGTAACTGCAATGCAGGACAAATCACTATGTTGAATTTTTTTTTATTTTCTTTTTAAATTAAAAACCTTTCTGATCTCTTTAAATCAACTGCCTTATGCACAAAACATCCAGAGTTTCCACTTTTCAAAATTTGCACTGAGAGTAAACTAAACTTCCATTCTCCACAAGAATGGCATTTTTTTTTTTACCATCAAATAAAAGTGGAAGAGGTAAAGAATTCTATGAACTGAATTGATATTTTACATAGTTTGTGTATATATAGCAGTGCTTATAAAATTAATTATGTATTGTTAATTGTTGCAATCCTTCCTCAGGCAGAATACCCATTTATATTGGCTGGGAGTTTGTCCAGACAAAGACCAAATAACCCTCCAATTTAAATTGTCAACAGCAATTCTCACATTTGCACAGAATGAGGATGTTGTGGCATTATGAGGACTGTGATTGAAGGTGCTCAGCACCATCTGAATAATGCCATATGTTCTCGGATCGACTGAAAGAAAATGAAAGTGATTGGCAGCAATCAGGAGGTGCACAGCATCTTGTAAAATCAGCCCCTAAAAGATTTGTCAATCATTCTATTATTCATCCCTTCCCAACTCCCTGTTAGCAGAAAATATAATTTGGCTATAAAAATTCAATGTTGCTTTTAAAATATACTTGGGAATTGCACACAAAACAGTACCCACCAATTTTCTTTCTTTTTTTTTTTTTTTAATTCTCCTCTGGAATAAAAACACATTTTAGATGCTTTTGTGTCTTCCACAAAATTAATACGTTTTTCAATTTTAATGTAATGGTAGTTCACTAGAGGAAGCAGACATTATTTGAGAAATATTATGCATTTTTCAGATGTAGAATTTTAGGCTGTGAATTTTTAAAATATAAATATTCTTGTCAACATAGAATTATTTTTCATTATTACTATTCTTTTTACACTATGATGTCTATAAAGCTCTAAGTTAGTCTTGTTTTTTTTAAAATCACATATTTGTTTCAAGAGTAATTTGAGACTGGAAGTTTGAAGAAAAAATGTATCATCATCGTCCAGCAACAAGCTTTACAAGAAAATTGAGTTACATACTGTGGAAACTGAGGGCCTTCCTCACTAAAACTGCACCTACTCAGAGTGACAAGCACACACCATTCTGTATCTTAACAGCCCTGGTCCTTTGCTCATTTAAATAGGAAACCTGGTCTGAGCATTCCTCAGCACTGTTTTTGGCCCATGGGAACCTGCATGCAACAGGGAGGAAAGGCTACACGATGAAGGCAGGACCAAACACCTCCAAATCCTGAGATATTCCTGCATTCACCAATAAAGGCATCACCAGGGAGACTTACTTACTGCAATACCCAGGGCCTTTAAATGAGACACCTAAGCACTGCACACGGCATATGAGGAAAGCTAAGTATCTTAAAATGGGACTTGCAAGACAAGTGCAATCTGCACGAAACCATGCAAGCTAGTAAAAGAGAAATTCAGAAGAATAGAGTTTATTCTGTATTGTTTGTGCCTGAAAGACACAAACATTTCACTTTGGGTCACCCAAAAATGCCTACATCACAAGTGAATTCAAGCCTCAAAATCTTCACCATCACATAGGCTGACCTGTCCTCCTACAATAACCCCCCTTCCCCCTCAACTTTTTTTTTTTTTTTAAATAAGACTAGAAGAGCTACCTGTTTTTACAAGGCTTCAACACGGACACAGGAGAACTAGGTTCTCCCTGCTTTTTAGCTAGAGGAGGTTCAAATGTACATCCCCCAGAGATTATCACAGACTCCCTGATAACAACTATTCTAAAGCAAGTGGCATGTTAACTCCTCCTGCTAAAACAACGGTACTATTCAAAATTAATTAAAAAAAATCAGGATTCATTGGATGAAAGAAAGGGAGCCAGTGAGAGCATGTTGTATTAAGTCATTCAAGAATGCAGAAGCAGTTCTTGCTAAAACTATCAGAATTCTTCCCAGATGAGTACCTTCATCACAGGACTTCAGAATTATGCTTTCTTCCACCAGGTCTCTGGACAAATGAGCCTTGAATAGTAATTATTTGAGTAGTTAAACAAGTGGAGTAGAATATGGCTCATTCCAGAAAGCCTTTATTTTGAAGTAGTTATAGAACTCTTCCAGGAAGATGTGGGTTTGGACACCACTGTGACGAAATGGGTCCTAAACACTGAATCAATCTAGTGTAGAATACCTGTCAGCTAGCTTCTGTTTGTTTTAGTTTTTATGATAAGTGAAGTCTTCACTCTT